CAAAACCCACAGGCTGGACGCTCAGTCCTCCAATGGAGTTTGCTACACGGAGGCCTACTCACACCGTGCTCAAAGGCTAGGAGAAGGCTCCTTCATCCTGCTGGGAAGTCAGCTGTGCAGAAAAGTTAGCTCTGAACTTCCCCAAAGCAGGATATAGGTCTGCTTTAGATAGGTGTTCGGTGAATGGATGAATCACTTAATGACTCAATGCTGCTATCCTCAGGAGTGACCTTGCATGGTCCTGCAGCAGGAGAGCCATGGAAGATGACTGTGGCTGTTATCCTGAGTCTCCCTGGTTTTACCCAAAGCATGAAGGTGTGACCTGAGCATTGTCTAGTCTTCCAGGGCCTTCCAGGGCTAAGCCTGGCATTCTGCCCTCTCTGGGCGCATCTGGGAGTGTGGTAAAGCCAAGTCCCCACACCCTTGCCTCCTGACTTGCCTCAGGGTGGATACTCATACTCTTCTTTTCTGCCGCATTTTCCTTGGCCCATCTGCTCCCCTCACCACAAGGATAATGCAGAGACCAGATAGGAGAGTGGTCGCATGGCCTTGGTCCTTTTCTCACCCGGGGAAAGACCTAACAGCAGCAGCATGGGTGTGCCCAGACTGGAACTCAGCCCATGGTTTTCCACAAAGACCAGCTTATTCTGACTTGAACCCATGGAATAGAATGTATGTCAGTGTGAGCAACTGTGCATCCATGTGAATGTGCATGTGTACATGTATGTGTGCATATGTAGAGTGTTTCTCCTTGTATCTAGAGACACCAAATTGTAGTTGGACAGAGCTTGAAGTGCAGCCTGTCCAATCCCTTCACTTTATAAGTAAGGAAACAGTTTATTGTATTACTAGGAGTCTTTGCCTGATACTCGAGAAATAAAAAATATGTAGGTAGACCCCATGGTCACTAAGGAGGAGGGGACCCAGCTCCTCTTGGCCTTCTTCACTACACCACCACCCTGTGTTCTAGATCCTTCCTCTCCTCACAGGGAGCTCCTCTCCGATCCTCAAAGTCTCTTTAGAAATGAAACAAACAGAAGACATCATTAAGGAAGCAAAGATCCTCTCCATTGTCTGGGGTCCTCACCTGTCCTTCTCTGCCCCCACACCATGTGGCCCAGCCTATCCCAGCAGGCTCTCGCTCTATGACACACCTTTGTCCTTTTGTCCTTTTCTCGTGTAGTCTTGCCACAACCTCGTGAGGATGGTCATATTATCCCCACTTGGCAGGTGAGAAGACTGAGACTCAGAGAAGTCACGTGTGAGTTGCCCGCAGCGCTCAGCCTAAATCGAGCAGGCATGGGATGGGAGTCTCAGCCTTCCAGACCCCAAGTGTGCGCTCTGAACGGCAGCCTGGAGACAACTCTGTGGTGAATGCACAGTGTCCCATGACTCTCTGAGCTCCTCTGGGCCGCTGAGCTGCCAGGGTGGAAGCCCCCAGCTGCTTCTCTCCCTCTGCCCTCTCTCTGCACTCCAGCAACACTCAGCCTGAGCTGATAACTGTGGCAGGTGGTTGGGAAATGGCTCTGACACCATAGAAGGGAGCCCTCAGAGGGGCCAGCGTGGGGTATCTGCAGAACGCAGAGCTCACCGCTGCAAGGGCTCCTCCCGCACCAGGACCTCCGGCTCCTGGGCTCTTGTGCTGCGAGCTGCCCCAGAGCCCTGGCTCCCAGCTGTCAGCACCAGCAATCTTCACGCAGGAGCTAAGCCCTGGCACTTCCCAGGTCTGCAGGAGGCCAAGATTCCTTTTCCAGAGAAACACTTATCTGTCTCCGAGCCCAGGGCCTTGTCCCCTATCCAAGTGTCTTCATAGTTCAGATTCCTGTGACTAGGAAGGGGTTGGCACCCTCGAACACGAATCCTTCCAGCTGAGTTCCCTGAGATAGCTGACGCCTTTTCCATTAACTACCCGGCCCTCGAGTCCTTGTGGCCGTTACAGGATTGGAAGAATCCCCCAAATTCTGGTGGCCTCTGATCCAACCCAGATACTTCAGGGAGCCCCTGTGACAGGGCAGCTGGCCTTCCATCCCCGGCAAAGGCCTGCAGTGGTGTCAAAAGCTGGGGACCAGAGTCTGGAGCTGGATGGGAAGAGAACAAAGGAATGCTGGCAGCCAGTGAAGCAGGAGCTGGGATCCCACCTTTAGGGGTTAGTTTCTTTAAAATCAGGGCACAAGGAAGGAGTGTGCGTGGTCAAAATCACCTTGACCTCTCCTTCCAAAGGTACTGTGCTGGCCAGGCTGACTTGGCTCAGTGGTTGAACTCGACCTCTGAACCAGGAGGTCACAGTTCAATTCCTGGTCAGGGCATATGCCCAGGTTTCAGGCTCGACCCCCAGTAGGGGGTGTGCAGGAGGCAGCTGATCAATGAGTCTCTCTCATCATTGATGACTCTATCTCTTCCTTTCTGAAATCAATAAAAATATGTTAAAAAAATAAAAAGAAGCTACCATGCTGGAGACTGACAAACTTTCTCTCATTAAGTCCCACCAGCTGGTGTCCCCACCAGGGTGGGGACAGGTGCTGTGACTTTGAGTGAGCATGCATTGAGGTGGCTGTCTTACATTTGGGGACCATGTTGTGTGAAAAGTGTGTATGTTAAGCACTAGATTCAAGCTCACCTGTGACTCAGGCAGACCCATGTCCTCCAGCACCTCTGCCCACTCAGTGGATGGCAGGCCCAGTGCTCCCACGATTGTCCTTAAGCTAACGTGACGTGATACTCCGCTCAGCACTCCCATGCCTGGTGTGTCAGGCTGGGCAAAGCAGCAGGATCGGGGTGAGCCCCTCCCAGAGGGCAGACCCTGTGCACCTAGCCCGCCCCTGCTTTGCTTTTCACAGTTTCTCATTTTGAAATGCTCCCTGTTGCTGTCTCCTCGCTATGTTACACCTGGGCACAGCCTGGCTTCGGGCACGAATCAATGATGTTTCTCTAGCACATTCATATTTCAGAGCCTCTTCCCACTACTCCTGCACTGAGCTACCATTTGCTAAGGGGGTAAGTAACCCTACACCCTGGGGCAGGTTTCTTCTTGCTATTGAGGGCCGAGGGGTGAAAAGAGATCTCTGATGTGTTGGTGGCTGACAGAGCACCTGGGCATGCGTGGGGAAGAAGGCAGGGGTGCTCGTGATGGCAAAGCCACAGTAGGGAGAGAAGAGCTGATTAGACCTAAAATGCTTCCTGTTGGGAGAGTGAAAGGTAACTCCAGGATGAAGGAAGCTGTCCTTGAAAACAGCTCAGATAAGGGAGGGGCACCAAATTGTGCCTGGGCTGCTGCGATTTGGAAATCTTCCTCCAAATGACTGATTTTCCCCCAAAGTCCATGTGAGTGCACAGGTAAATGGTGTTCTGAAATATTTACACTAGCATTTAAAAAATTCATTCTTTTTTATGACAAAAGTAGTACAATGGTTGTTAGGAACAAGCTAAATATCAAAGAAACAGATGACCAAGGAAGTGAAAGTCCTCCCTAATCCCACTGGGCTGGAAGCAAGCACTGTGAACAGTTTAGGATATTTATACCAGGGTTTTAATCATCGTTTATTTATACAGCAAAGGCCCAGGCAGGAGGGGAAGCGCGCCTTTACCTTGCCTTTCAGCTGTCCCTGCCTGGAGGGCACCGTGCCAGGCTCTTTAAGACAAAGTGCCACTGTCCACCTGGTGGCTCCATCGGCATTTCCTGGTAGGATGGACTGGACCAAGTCTGGGCTGCCTGTCTGGTCAGAAGCAGCGATCTCACCCCAGTGCCCTCCCCGCACTTGCTCCACCAGCCACCTCTCCCTAGTCAACATGGCATCTGGGTCCTTCCCCAGGACCCCTCTGGACAGGCAACACCCCCAGGGTACCCCAAGTCCTGCCTTGTCCTTAAGTCTCAAGGATGGTCGGAATCGCCATCCCACCCTTGCTCATAATCTTCTCTGTCCATCATTGTCTAGTAGAAAGTGGGCTGAATTTGGGGTAGGGGCCAGGTAGGGAGAAGATTGGTATTTCTTGAACATTTACACCATTGAAAGAATTTAAATACATTTAAGTGAGGAGGTTGGCTCTCAACTTTGACCTCACTGGAATCACCGGACAAGCTTTAACAAACTGATAATACACGGGTTCCAGCCAGGGATTCAGATTTACTAAGTTAGGATGTCTGAGTCCTGCCTTCGATGGTTCCACTGTGGATCTGAGGGGCCGAGCGTGGGAAGGCCAGAGCTGGACTGCCCCCCGATACTCCCTTTCCCTCCATCTGCTTCCTCGGACTAAAACCTTCCCTGCCCAAGAGCGCAGTGCAGCACAAAACCTGAGGGTTCACTCCTCAGTTCCCTCACCTGGTGACCTCCGGCACACTCCTTGACCCTCGGTGACTCCGTTTCCTAACCTACGAAAGGGGCGTAAACAGTGCTTGCCTATTTTTCTGTTGGATGAGATACCGTGCTAAGTGCCAAGCTCAGTGCCTGGCACTGGGGAGGGCACTTCTCTGTCTCCTTTCCTGCTTCCTCCAGAGAAGCTCTCCTGCAACTGTGGCTCAGTGGACTGACTTGCATGCACTCTGTACCTACAAGTCTGGGTTCAAGGATCTCACTAAAGAGTCGTGGACGTCCAAGTAAAGGGAAACCAGGAGAAGGTCCAGAGGGAAGACAGGCAGATGCAGCCAGAGGAGGTGAACCATTGAGGGTTTTTGTTGGGATTTTTGGCTGATGAAGAGGATGCCTCCATGACCTCACTGGTTCTCACTGGTCCTGCCCCTGATAATCCCAGATGCAGGGCTGTTTTGCCACAAGAAATGGGCCTTATCCTACCCAACCACCCAATCTCTGGCATCAACTGAAAGACTTGCCTCTTTGAGATCCAGAGAAGGCCCTTCACATATGAGAGCCTCAGACAGTGGTAGGCACCCCTCAATCCCTGCCCCCTTTTAGAAATCCAGAAATGCCCCTCACCTCCCCCCTGCCCGCCACACACACACACACATGCTGTCCTTTTTATCTCCCAAGTGTTGGATTGTGACTCACTGTTTTTTGTAATCCTGCGGTTGACGGCTCGCCAGGAGGAGGACTGACTCCTTCTTCAGGACTCAACCTTCACCCAATCTCCGCTCTGCCCCCGGTGTGGCTGCCAAGCTAGAAGGCTCTCTGCCTCCAGGGAAGGAGGGAGACCGAGCACTGGGACCAGACACACCTGTGTTCCCTCCTCTGCTTGGATACTTGTTAGCTCTGTGATCTCTGGCCTGTGGTTTGGACTCTGGAGCGGAGCTCATTAACCTGTTTGACTCCAGCCTCCTCTTGCTGAGCTTGATCACGGGGCATGGTTATTTCCTCATAACTGGGAGGCGATGGGCCAGGATCAAAGTTAAATTTCTGGGCCTCCCAGAGCCAGACCCTGGGAAGAACACAGTATACAAAGTCTGCAGGCCTGACACGCAGTCCCACACAGCCACCAGCTGACTGCCACCTTGGGCAAAACGACTTCTCGCAACCTCATTTACAACAGCTGTGCTATCAGGCAGCTGGTCTAAATCAGTCATTCCCCAAAGCTACTAGTAAGTATTTGGTACACTAGTTTTGCATGCTGCTTAAAAAAAAAGAAGAAAAAGAAAAAGAAAGGTCTCTAAGGTCAGATAAGTTGAGGGAATACTGTAAACTCCACCCCCAATTAACACATTGTAATATATACATCACCTTATTAAAGGCACCCAGAGATCCAGTAACAGGGAAGCCAGTTTGGCTTTGTTCAACTTGCTCTTTCCTAAACTCATTTGACCATGAAACTTTCCTTTCCTATTAACATGCTGGAGACTAGTAATCAGACCACATCTAACCTAGAGCTGGACTTCTCAGACGTGAAGGTGCATACAAAATAGCACGGGCTCTTGTGAAAAGTGAAGGGCCTGAGACTCTGCATTTCTAATAACCTCCCAGGTGATGCCATGCTGCTGAGTCTAGAGGACTGATTACTAAGGTTTTGTTTTTTTCCAGTTTCAGTATGGAAGTTGTGTAGAAATGGTGACTCGAGGCCTCTAGGCTCATAGAGTCCTAGGTCAGGGTCCTGGCCCAACCACTGAGCAGCAGTATGACCTTGGACAAGTCTCTTGACCTCCCTGAGCATTAACTTTCTCACCTATAAAGTGGAGATACTAACGGCACCTGATCCACAGGTTTGTCTGAGGAATAAATAAGACTGCAAAGAAAACATGCAGTGCTAAGACCTAGCCCATGACAGGACCCACTGTAGCAGAAGTCGGGTGACACAAGTCCTCCCTGACCCCAGACAAAGGGGTCCTCATTGACCAGTGAAGCCCCAGTGCTGGCAATGCCCCATCACGTTATCCGGGGCATGGGCTCTGCCAGCTGCCGTGTGTGTGTGTATGTGTGTGTGTGTGTGTGTGTGTGTGTGTGTGTGTGTGACGTGCAGCTATTGGGAGAGTGTAAGTTTCATTGGATTCAACTTTGTGGTCCTCAATAAGCGGTTCCGCACTTGAATCACATTAAAACTTTCACATGAATCTGCTCTCATGGTAAAATAAATCACGTGGTAAAATAAATCGTAAATATATTTGGGCTCTATTAAGATCCCAGCTTGTATGTAGACAGCGGATTAGGACCACATTACCCTGGCTGCCCAGATCTTGCTTCATATTGGAATCAATGGAAGGAAGGGGAAGGGAGGATAACCATATATTGATCACCTCTTAGTGTTTGGCTCCTGGTAAATATCATCTCATTTAAACCTCTCAGCCACCCTGTGCTATAGACTCAGAGAGACTAAGTAATTTGCCCAAAGACACACAGCCAGTAAGTAGTGGAGCTGGGATTCGAGTTCAGTATGATTTGACTTTGTTCTCACGAGAGGCTTTCTTTGTTCCCAATATACACGGCAGAAGATGGCTGTCACAGCTTCTGAGTTTTACCTGTTATTGGAACACCTGAAGAGAAAACAAGTCCTCTCTTAACTTGATCCCTGTCTTGGGTCAAGTTCTGCATCTGGACCAATCAAATGTGGCCATAGGGGCAGGGCCGCATTGTGCGAACTTGGCAGCTTCTGTTCTGACCCTGTGGGGTGGGAGTGGAGGTGGAGGAGACAGGATTAGTCTATGTCCCACTGTGGACTACCCCTCACTAGGAGGAGTAACTGGTAAGAGTGACATTTAAAAGGTAGATGAGGTCTGGCCAGTGTGACTCAATGATTGAGTATCTATAATAATAAAAGGGTAATATGCTAATTAGACCAGATGTCTTCCAGATGTCATTCTGGACGTCCTTCCTGATGAAGCTGGGGCCAGAGGAAAGCCGGTGCTGGCAGCTGGGGGAAGGAAGGCCTACTCTTTTTTAAAAAAATATATTTTATTGATTTTTTACAGAGAGGAAGGGAGAGAGATAGAGAGTTAGAAACATCAATGAGAGAGAAACATCAATCAGCTGCCTCCTGCACATCTCCTACTGGGGATGTGCCCACAACCCAGGTACATGCCCTTGACCAGAATCGAACCTGGGACCTTTCAGTCTGCAGGCCAATGCTCTATCCACGGAGCCAAACCGGTTGTGGCATAAGGCCTACTCTTGCACGAATTTTCATGCATCAGGCCTCTAGTCCTATATAATAAAAGCATAATATGCAAATTTTCCTCTCGGGTGGTCTTTTGATGGGGAGTTTGACCGCTCACTATGATGTGCGCTGACCACCAGGGGATGGCATGGAACATGGCGAGCATCAGCGACCTGACGCTGGCACTGGCAGCGGGCAGCGGTGGAGGCACTGCCAGCCCTGATGGGCCCCCGATGAGAGTGGGACCAAGGTGGGATGGTGGAGCAGGTGAGAGGGCAGCCAGGCCAAGGTGGGTTGCCAGGCAGGGCTACAGGGCTGCGAGGCTGGGGTGTGAGCTGGGGCCCAATTTCCACAGGCCACCCCAAGGGACCCACCCATGCATGAATTCGTGCACCGGGCCTCTAGTTGATCTATAAACCAGGAGGTCCCAGTTCAATTCCCAGTCAGGGCACATGCCTGGGTTGCAGGCTCAGTTCCCAGTAGGGAGCATGCAGGAGGCAGCCAATCAATGATTCTCATCATTGATGTTTCTGTCTCTCTCTCCCTCCCCTTCCTCTCCCTGAAATCAATAAAAATATAACAATTTTAAAAAGGTAGATGAGAAGGAAAACTTCACCTTGACCAGATTCAGATGCCTTGCTGGCCACCTTCTGACCTGGTGGAGATTGGCACAGCCAGTTATCCGCCTACGCGGCTCTGATCTTCTCCAGCAGCCTTGTCCCTGGAGGGTCCCAGGGATGGAAGTAAATCACATCCTGATTCCTTACTTCTGGCCTAGTCCTGAGTCATCCTCCGACTGGCCACAGAGACTGTGTCGGGCTGTCCACACACAGCTGCACACATCTGGGAGGTTCTGGACCCTGGATCCTGGCGACACTGTGTCACGTGCTTTGTTTCTCTGCTTCTCAATTTTTCCAGTGATGGAAGGGGGAGTGAGATATGACGCACGTCACAGGCCCATGTTGAGAAACCGTTTAAACCAAGGCTTTCTGGAATCTTGATGGAGTTGCAGGGTAAAACAAAGGGAAGGGCGAGTTGCTTCAGCCATACCTCCAGGCACCTGGGAATTGGCTTTGGAGAGCCTTCCTGAGCCCCATCACCAGCAAGTCGTCCAGATGCACGAACACCATTCAAAGCTGACAGCTACCAATCTGACGATTGTCCTCCACCCCCCCATTCCTCAAGCGGTTCTCAACCTTCTGGCCCTTTAAATACAGTTCCTCATGTTGTGATAACCCAGGATGCCCTGCCTGCCCCACACTCAGAGCTCAGCGCCTTTTACTCGGCTGCCACTGCAAGCTGATTTTTAATCATCTTTTGGGACAGTCGCCGTTTGGAATGCTGGAAAGGAAATGCTCTCCCCAGCTGGGCTGGGGCCAGGCTGCTGGAGAACAATGCCCACCTCCGAGTCCATTGTGTTTATCTCCCAGCTGGAATGCTAGTTCTCAGACAGGAGGGGAGCACGCTTGCAAACCAAGAAGACCAAAAAGGAGTGGAGCCTGGTGCCTTGTCAGCACTTCTGTGGCTGTGGGACTGACGTGATTCACATGCCGACCCCTTTTTAAGCTCCAAAAACTTTGCTCCTTGGAGTACTTTGTTGAACAAGGCAACTGGGGTCTTTTATTATTTTTCTAATCAACACCATTATGATTATTTTTCCTTTAATTACAGCAGCTGCCCTGTGGTAGGCACTGTGTTTTCCATGCCTCACTTCATTCAAGTCTTGTAACTGTGTGAGGCAGGTACATTCACCATTCCCATTTTACAGATGAGAAGACTGAGGCTCAGAGCTGTTAAGCCCATTTCTGCTGCCTCTGAAGTTGCAAGTGGCCAGGAGGTAGTGCTGACTCCAGACAGTCTGACTCCAGAGCCTGCCCTTTAGCCACAACCTCTTCCTCCCTCCTTGGAATCAGGTGTATGTTCAGTTCTACTGGGGGCCTGGAAATAGGTACTGGGAAAACACCCCAAACACTCCAAGCTTCCGGCTTATAACCTTTACCCATTCCATCCCAGCAACCTGCGCTAAGCTACTTCTGAGTAACAGAAGGACTGTGCAGGGACAAGGCGTCACATTCTCCCATCGCAGTGAGGGCCAGGGGCTCGGCAGACAGAGGCACAGACAGATGTCTGTTTCTAGGACGGGCTGGCTGAGCTCCTGGGCCGCCGGGTTCTTGCGTGTGCTCTCGCCAGCTCCACTGGATGTTTCAGGAAGGAGAGGGCTCATTCATGCCTCATCTGGAAAAGAAGAGTCTGGGGTGCTGCAAAGAGGGAAGGGGTGAGAACTGGGGCAGGATGGGAGCAAGGTTCTCCAGACACAAGATTCCCCTGCCTCTGCTTTTTATCATTTTCCACTGTCTTGACCCTGGGCCTGCAAGCCTTTCCCCTTTCCTGCCTCTGTAACCCTCCTCTCTAGCATTTTTAAAGCCACAAAGCTAACAAGCCAGGGTTTTAAAGTAGCCCCAGACCAAGTGTGATGAGTTAAATTTTATCCCAAAAGGTATCTCCAAGACCTAACAGCCGGTGACCTCATGTGGAAATAGGGTCTTTGCAGATTTAAGTGCAGGATCTCAAGGGTGAACCCTAAAATAAATGATAAGGTCCTTATAAAGGAGAGGGGAGGAAGATGAGACAGACACACAGAGAGGAAGGCCATATGAAGACAGCGAGAGACCCTGACATTGTACCACCACAAGCCAAGGAACGCCAGGAGCCATCAGAGGGTGCACGGCTGTGT